TTTTAAAAAATCAAAAAATATTAAAAAAAAAAAGTGCAAGCCTTAGGAGGATTTAAAGGGATCCCAAACTCCCGACACATGTTGCATGCTTGGTCGGGAAGCGGGAGCGATCGCTCTCGAATACTGACCACGGAAATTATATTTAGTTGCAAAAAACTGGCCAGGTTTTTTAGTCGTTTTAAGAACATTTTAAGTTTATGTAAGAAACAAAAAAATTTTGTTTTACGGACATACATGGAAACATAATAAACTTGAATGTTCCCAAAACATCTTTGCGCGAAAAAGTAAAAAGAATATTCGCGAACACTAAAAACCCGCCAAATTAACGAAGAAACTAATTCTATTGGTTCAAAAAATACGCTGATTTAGCGAAATAAAGTTCTAGAGTATTCTGTTGAAATGTTTTAAAAAATGTTTTAGAAACGATTTGTTACATTTTGAGATTTCTAGCATAAATTGTTTTAAGAATAAATATATTATTTGTTTACAAGAATAAAAGTTTTAAATATATATTAAATTGTCAAAATGTTATAAGTTTATTATAAATTATAGATTTTATTAGCATATTCTTATTTTTTATTTAAAAAGTATGTATTCTTTATTTAAATTTAATTTTGTTTATCTGTTTTTTATTATAATGTATCTTTTAAAGCAATTTTTACGATTTAAACAAAGACTTACAAAAACAATTGCGTTTTCAATGAAGTTATAATCGTTATAGTTAATAAAACTAATTACGTAACGAACATATAAGAAGTTTCTAGTTACTAAACACAAACAAAGTAACTCGCAGATGAACAAGCACCGCGCCTAAGGTCACGACAGAACACAAATATATATAGCAAATAATTAGATATAAAGAAAAGTTACTTGATATTGGTTTACTAACTCTAATTATTTTCGCTTAAGTTGCCATTCTAAAAACTCGTTAAACTTTTTTCTGCTTTAAATACTAATTAAAATTAAAAAGCCCACTTACTAAACATCACCAGCGATATTGTGAAGCAATTTCGCTTCCTCGTCATAAAGTATTGTTAACCTTAAGTTGATTTCTATATTGTTAATTCAATTTCTATGATTTAGTTATTTTATTTGTTTATCTTACTAAGAAGAATTGCTTCAAATATGTTAAACTTTTCAAACTACGCAAAACATAAAATAGGTATTGAAAAAATTAACTTTATTATTTATAAAATAATTTAGCTAAAATAAAACTAAAACTTACAAACTTAGTTAAATAAAGAATATTTGATTCCTTTTTAAACAATCGTAAGTTGTCACTTTATATAAAAAACATCGCTTAATTTTATAAAAAAAAATTTAAAAAAGCGATGTTTTGAAAATATTTGTTTTAAAAATAATTTATTTAGCTTTAAGTTTTTTCTTGTTAAAGATATTTTATTTACCTAATTTTTTTTTTATTTTATTTGTAATTGTCTCTCATCGGTCCAATTAATCTTAAGCGCTTTTTTTTTTTTGCTTTTTAAAATGTTCTCAAAATGACTTAAAAATCTGGCCAGTTTTTCGCAATTAAATATTATTTACGTGGTCAGCAATCGAGAGCAATCACTCCCGCTTCCCGACCAAGCCCGATGTTGTGTTCATATTAAAGATAATGTTAAAAAAAAAGGTTTGAACCATTTTTTGATTAAAAATAAATAATGAATGCATACGGTGAAAAACAAATGTTGTTGTTTGGCAATTCCTTTGAAGCGCGTTTAATTCATTAAAGTTTTAGTATTTGACATCACGGTAGACTTTTAACAAAAGAAAAGTGTTATTAAACTAAGCTGCGTTTTTCTACTGTAGTATTTTTTTAATATACAGCAAAACAAATTTATTTGTATTATTTTTCTAAACATCGCAAAAAAAAAAATTTGTAAAAAGAAAAAATGATAAACTATTTTTATTTTATAGGAGCAACTTGTTTTTTACAAATATCTTAATAATTTTTGGATTTATATATCTTACTTATATTTCTTTTGTTTTTAAATTAAAACAAATATTAAAGCTTTACTTACGAATCTTATAATTTTCATACAAGTGTTTTACATTATATAGAACGTTATGTATATGGTCTCTCGTTTTTGTGCAAAAGAGCGCAGTATTATATATTCTGAATCTTACTTATTTTTATTTAAACAATCGGAACTTTTTTCTAACTTCTCTGGTTATTTTTAAGCTATGATATTTTTTCTTTTCCCGTCGAAAAAAAATATTAATAATTAATTTTATAAACTGACAGTATTAATTAGAGATATATGATGAATTGTTAACTTTTTTTTATTATAAAAATTTTTTGATTACGCTGATTTATTTTAAATTGCTAAATTGGATACGGATAAAAAGAAATATCATTTTATTTTACATTTGATTTTTGATAATGAAATTTTTAAAATGTCGGCAACTCCATACCAATTAGAACCTGTTAAGGTTATGAAAAAAAATTCAAGAATACACTAAACAATACAGTTGACAGTAGTATCAGATATGCAAATTCGTGAAAGGATTTGTGAGATCTTGGTTTTGCATTAAAAGTACAATTAATAACAACACAAGTCGGCATTATAAATTTTGAATATTAGTTTACTGTTCAATATTTTAATACCATCAAATAAAAACATGAAGTTTGTATATTTTCGCCCGTTTTATACAACTAATATTTAACAAAAATACAGACAAATTACTTTTATATAAGGCAATAGTTAACACATTAATTAATGGCAATAATTCAAGATAAATACTAATTTAAATTTTCAAAATGTCATAACGCGCGTTAAAAAACATTATATTAGGTATTTCCCAATTTGTATCGTATTTGGTATTTGTCTCTTAACATGAAAAATTTTAAAGCACAATAAATACAAATTTTCAAGCAATTTTCTCTTCCAATTTTCATTTATTCAAAGAAAAGTTACTATTAAACTTTAATTTCTCTTATCTAAAAAAAGAACGAGTGACGCAAAAATAAAAAAAATAAAAAAATTCTATACAACTCTTTTATTCATTCGAAGTTTAATTACGCGAAACTTTTCTTTCTCTTTTGTTCTACTCTTATAAAAAGAGCGAGCGATGAAATAAAAACTTTTCTTTCTTAACATAAATTTATACTTAGAGATAAAATTAAATTAGAAATAAAGCAACAATGAACAAAGCAACTAACAGATTAATCTGGGACTATTTTGATATTAATGAAAATAATCAACATAAACAACATTACCAACAGCAATTATCAAATAAACAACACAATATCGCATAATTTTAGGGGCTTTTTATTTTTATTGCTTAGTCGTTCTAAATAATAAGTAAATTTAGTTCAAGTTAATATTTCAATATTTACAGTTGCAATATAATAAAGAAATGATGTTTAATGTTGAACTTTTTATTTAATTATTTATTTTTTGCCTACATTTGTTATAAAAAACTTTTAAACCCATCATTAAAATAATTTGTTTTGAATATATTTCAAAATGATTATTCAAACTAATTTTTTTCGCTTGACTTCCTGAACTTCATGCAAAGCAAATTGAGACGAAATATTATCTAACCAAATAAAAATGCTTTTACTAATTTTATATGGGTAATTAATTTTAAACATTTTTTTATCAGAGTCTTGATTGAGATAATAAATATTCATAATTTATAAACATTAAATATATAGCGCAATAACAATTTATAGCAACGAACCAGCATAAAATATTTAAGGTTTTTAATATCTTTTTAAATATTAAAAGTAGAAAAAAAAAACTAAACAAATAACCAAAAAAACTTCGACTAAAAATAAATAAAAATATTTCCAGAGTTTCTTTTGTTAAAAGTCTACCGTGACATCAAATACTAAAACTTTTATGAATTAAACGCGCTTCAAAGGAATTGCCAAAGTCTGTAGATTGCAACGCATAATTTGAAGACTCCGATTTATTGAAAAAAATTGAGAAGGGGAGCTTCGGCAAAAACAACAACATTTGTTTTTCACGGTAATCATTCATTATTTATTTTTAATCAAAAAAACTTGGTTCAAACCTTTTTTTTAACATTATCTTTAATATGAACACAACATGAGTCAGGAGTTTGAGATCCCTTTAAATCATCGATTCAGTTAAGAAATGCGACAAACTAACCATTTCACCTTCTAAGGCATATTGTCCGGTAAAAGTTTTAACACTATTTAATAAGCGAAAAAAGTTTATAAAATGGCAAATAAATGCTATAAATCAAAATTAAGGAGATGTTGCTGCAATGCAGTTTTCAAGTAAAAGTAAGTAACAGCTAAAAAGTAAGTAACACTGTAAAACTTAATATAATTTTTAACATTACATAGTTTAAAGTTTACATAAGTTAGACAGTTGCATCATTATTGTTCACATTTTCTTAAAAGATAAAGTGCTGGGACTTTCTTGTTATTAACTCAGGTGTAACGGCTGCCATGAGTTCCGTGTCAAACACTCACAATTTGGTAACAACAGCATTAAATTCATTATTAATATATTATAGGATGAAGAGAAAATTTATGTTTAATGATAATAAAAAATATGAGATTAAATTTATTTAATATAAAAAAAACTCAAGCATAATAGACATTCCATAATATGCGTATTTACAAAATAACACTCTTGTTTTTTTTAATTAGTAAATTGAACTTGTTTTACAATAATTTATTTTATTTCACTAGTTTAATAAAGGTAATGTCCAAATAAAAGTAATTTTATGACAACAGCTAATGTGCTAAGTCAGCTAAGCTAATGTGCTAAGTCATTTTCATTTAAAACAAGGCCTGAAGTATATTCTGAGTATTGGGTCAGTATTGGGCTTGTGGTATCAAATATCATATTTACAATTTTATCAGTGGATTTTTATTTAGTTTTTTAGTTTTTTCTCTTAGTTTTTCCTTGTTTTTTATTGCTTTTGTGTTGCTTTAAAATAAATATAAACATTTAGTTTTATTACAATTGTGTTATTTTATTTGTTATTGTTTGTGATAAATTCTTTTTTCAATTTAGAGTGATTTGAAAGCTTTTTTTTCATCTGCTGGAGACGTAAGAAATGTAAAAATTTTACCGGTTCGTGATGGAAAGACAACAACTCTTGGGTAAAGTTTGACCAGTTTGTGATTAAAAAAATTTTTTTTTGAGTAATTTAATAATAATAAGAAATAACTTCAGATTTTTAAAAAAGTTTTTTAAAAAAGAGAAATTACTAACTACTTTTTTGTTTTAATTTTTTTTAAATAAATATAAACAAATTGGATTTTAATTTTAGAAATGTAGTTAAGATAGTGTTAAACCAGAGATGCAGAGTTCTAGACCAGGAAAAAAAGAGATTTTAAGTCAAAGGTCTTTTAAAGTTCCACATACCATTTGGATTAAAAAATAATTATTTTAATATTTCTTTTTTTTTTTTTTTTTTGTCATAGTTAAAAACCAAAATAATCGTTAAAAAAATAAAAAATAATTAAACTTTGATTAAATATAATTGTGACAGTAAAATGTGTGATTACTTTTTAAATATATTTTTTCAGTATACCTATTGTTTTTTTCAAGTATAGCCACATAAATATATATTTTTTCACTATATCCATTGTTAACAAGAATGAATTAATTTTTAATGTATTTTGTTTTTTTTAATAAATTTTAGTTGGTCATAATGTAAACATACAAAACAACCACCCAATTTAAGCCTCACAATACAATGTTTTCCTTTTTATTTTACGCGATGCCGTCATTAAAATTGAGCCAAAACAAAAAAAATTGTAATGTAAAAAAATATTTTTAACACACGATGATAGTAGATGTTTAATGCTGTCACAGAAAGAAAGAAGTCCATAGAAGTATATGGTAGTGCGAAATGTTTTTCCCCAATTAATACGATGAATTATAAAATGAATGAAAAAACAAATTTGCTCATTTTGGCCAGCTGGTTGATAAGTTGCATAGATGCAAGTTGATATTTGCCCAAACAGTTGTTCTTTTAAAAGACAACAAATTCTGTTGTAACAGTAAATTAGTTCAGTTAATTCAGTTGTCTTTACATATGCATTAAAAAATTTTTATTGTAATATCTGAATGTTTTAAATTAGTAAGGAAAGTCTTTATCCTAGTTTTTACTTTATCTCGCTGTTTTCAGCAAAGTAGTGTTGTTGACAAAGAGCTTTTTGTTCAGAGCATGCAAAAAAAAAATATACTGTAAGCGCACTGTTTATAGCCATGTAAATGCAACAAAAGCAGATGTTCACAATTTCATTATAATAAATTAGTAAAAAGTTGCAAGTTAGCTCACTTAATATAATAACTTATTAAATACTTAATATTAAATAATTATTTTTAAATGTTTAAAAAAAAAAAATGTCAAAGCAACTTTTATTTTAGTTTTAGTTTCCTTTTATTTAATTTTCTCCAAGTTTATATGTTTTTTTATATGTAAATAAATTTAACAAACTTAATTGAGAAAAAATCACTATTTTGTATTAATGGCTAACAGTTTACAGTCATAATGTTATTGCATATTAGTTTTAATTTGCGCATTTTGCACATGCATGAAAAGTTGTTTTAAATTAATAAAAAATTGATAAAATTCAATAAGCATCTTTGATATATCTAGTTATTTTATATCTTTTTAACTGGAATATTCAAAGTATAGAATAAGAATAAATAAAAAATATAAGAAAAATTTTTAAAAATTTAATTACTAATTATTTGAAACATTTACTAAAAAAAATTTACTAAAATATAGTTAATAAATGTTTAAAATACTTTAAACAATTTTCAATAATAGTTTACTAATTGACGTGGTATTTGCAACAAAAGCATTTATTAAAGTCTTAAGTATTGTAACTAAAGCAACATTGTCCACCGGTAAGTTCATGTAATAAAAAAAATGCCTATAAATCAACTCCTTATCTTAGGATAAAACTAAACAAGATGAACACAAATGATTAAAATGATAATTAAAAAATGATTATTTAAAATCATTGTCATAGCACCAATTTAATTAATTTTTTTATTTAAAATAAGTGTAATGCATTATGTTTATTTAAAAAAAAAAAAATTAAAGCATTAATGCTTTACGTGTTTTTCTTATCCCTCAAGCAAAAATCTATATTTAATGTAAACTTTTAAAGAGGTTTTCATCTATAAATTATCAGTTAGTTTTATCAAAGTAACTTTTCAGTATTTTCAAAAATTTTAAATAACGTAAGGTTTAGTTTTCTTTATACTGCTATCTATGCATTTCTTCATCTTTTATATTCTAGACATTGTTTGACCTTTCAGCATAAATATTATGCTAATAAGATAAAGTATGCCTAAAATATAAACAAATACCCATGGGCATATAACAAATACCATGGGATATATCTAGATACACATCTAACATCATATAAAGATACACTACCAATTAATACATATTTCTAAATTAAAATATACCACAGGCAACTATGTTACGTCTGATTGAGTTGTTTTTTTTATGTATCGATACGTACCTAAAAATAATGAATACTTTGCAGGTAATTTTACTATACAATGTTACGTATCATCATGTAAAATCTAAAGTCTTGCATAGGTGAAAATAACAGAAATTTTGCACGTAGCTTAACAAATCTTGTTTACGTTACAATATCTAATGTAACCTAAAAATGTTGTAGTGAAAGTTTTTGGTGTGAATTTTTTTTGTGACTTTTTAAGTAACCATGGCGGGCACTGGATATTTTGTTCTAGTCATTTATCAAAGAATTTTATGAAAAGTTGTGGAGAAATCATGGAAAAGTCATGAAACATCATTCTTAAATTTGATTCGCCACCCTGTAAATGTTCTTATTGATGGACTACAAAACTTTAAAAAACAAAATAAAAAAGAACAGCAAATATAAAGATTCTAACAAAAATTTACACACTGTTAAGTTAAAACCAAAACAATCATTAAAATCAATTAACTATCGAGGATTAGTTGAGTCATTGAATTAGCTAAGTAGTCAATTTTTTTATGAGTAGTCCTATTATAGTATATAATCATCACTATAAAAAGTTTGATTCAAATCTATTCATTAACCATTCTTCAGAATTAGGGTCAGCATTCAGCAATGCTGATCTTACTGCTGATCTAAAAGTTTTTGAGGTCAGCAAAAAATGGTTGACCTTGATTCTTTGTTTTATGGTAACTCATTTTGGTCAATTTTCTTGCAGACCTCTAACATTTTAAAGTCAGCAATTTATTGCCGGCCTCTTTTTTCTCTATTTCCAAAGGCTGATTAATTGAGATCTTTTCAGTTTCAATGAAGTAGTTTTGATAATCGAGTTGATTTTAACTATTGAATCTTTGTTTTCTCCTTTATGCTTGAATATTTAGTAAATTTTTTGAAATAAAAATAAAATGTTATTTTGTTTCTTACTCGGTGAAGTTTAAGCAATTTTAAAATATTATAGTGTCTGTATGATATTTTGCTGACTACAACATATTTCCATTAAATGTTCAGGTCTGTGAAATTATGAAAAGACAAAAAAAATTGAAAAGATAAATTTTGCCATAATATATTAATAAAAATTTTTAAAAACCGAGATCAAAAATTCGTTTTTTTAAAAAAAAAAAAAAAAAAATCTTAAAATCACGATTGCTTTTCCAAATTTGAATAAACTTTTTAATAAACAGGTTTATTAGGTGAAATAAATATCATAGTTAAATAATATGATCTGTTCTGATCGTTTATTGGCAATTTTTCTTAATATAAGCTCTCTCTTGGTCGGAATTCTAGTATTTCATGTGAAAATTGATAGAAATGTTGCATTTAGACTTATATATATATTTAATATGTATTAAAGCAAATTAGAGCTAAGATCTATAGTAGATTAAGGCACTTTTTCAAAAAATTTATCAAAATAGTCAATGCTGTTTAGCAGAATTGGTCTTAAGACTCAAAAATGGTGTTCTTTAGATTCACAATTAGCAGCAATAAAAAAGTTTTAAAAATTGTATCAAAAAAAGAAAAGTTTTTTTAAACATAAAAATTTGAAGCAAAAAAAATTTATAGTATCTAAAGCTCTTGTTTAGACATAATATTCTAACGAAATCTTGCTAATTCCAAATTAAATTACACCATGTTAGCAAAGTTTGAAATAAACTTTTTTTTTAGCTTTGTTGAGTTTGCTTCAGAAAGTGAATGCCAAAATGCTATTCAACAGAAAAATGAACAAGACTTCAATGGAAGCACACTTCGTGTTGTATCAAATAATGAAACAACACCAAAAAGGTTAGAGATAAAAAATTTTAATTTGTTGAAAAATCATTGTTCTAGTTTATTTGTGATGTACATTTATTTTTTCAAAAGGATAGTGTTTTTGTCAGTTGGTTGTTCATGTTATTTTAAGAGATAATGTTTTTATTCATGCCTTTTTAAGGATAGTGTTTTTGTCATTTATTAGTTTGTCTTTTTTAAAAAAAAATAATGACAGGAATGAGATAATTTAACCAATTTTTTTACAACTTTAAGTTTTTATCTCAAAAACAAGTGTCATCATCTACTTTACATAAGTTTTGTTAAAATATTTGTTATAGTTTTAATTTTGCTGTTTTCAGTGATTTCAGTCAGTCTAGCGGTGGCTTTAAAGGTGGCAATCGATTTCAAGTAAAAGTTTACAATATTCCAAATGGAACCGATAGTGTTAGTTTCTTATACTTATTTTTGAATATTTATATAAATATATCTGGTCTTCAAAATTTTAGGTTATGAAAAACCAAGAACTTTGTTTTTAAGGGGCAAAGCAATTCAAGTTAGCTAGCAAAAAAGTTATAAAAAACAAAACAATAAACTTACGACTACAAAAGTAATAACACTAATCACTAACTGCATTATAGAAGCAATAACACTATAGTAGTGTTATAACGCACTTTTAACTTTTATAGTTTACTAGCAGTAAGCAACCCGTAATACAGGTTATTAGTAATTAAATAATTGCTTACAGTTAACAACAAATAGGACTACGTTAACATCAGTTAAGTTCTTTTAAAATCCTTCAATGCCTAAAAAAAGGAACGAAAAATAATTACAAAGTATTATTTGCATTTTATTGTTGGTAGAATGAAGATATAAAGACTTAAAAAATTGCTGTAATAGCCCAGTTCTATCAACACAAAACACATTAACAATAGCGCATAGCATAAGATATTTGTAAGCACACATTACTATGTCTCTCCAAAATGATTAAAAAAGAAAAGATTATATAAAGGCTAGACAACTTAATGTAGTAAATAACGTAATAACGTATAACACCACAAATTAAGATATTTTATCAACTAAAATACTTGAGCTAAAAAGATTTTATTGATTACATATTGAACAATTTTATCATAAAATACCAAGCAGCTCATAAAAGTTTTTATATACATGGTCATTATCAATTGTAGCATTAATAAAACTTATATAATTACTTTTTTTAACTAAAAAGTAATTTTATAAGTTTTATTGATGCTCCATGCACTAATTCTCTTTTAACTCTTATCTAAGAGTAAACAAAATTATTTTTACCTTTATTATGTAAAGTTTCAGCTTCTCTTGTCAACTAATGATTAATAGAGTAAATTTCATATCATTAAATTTACAAAATTAAAACCATGTTTCAACAGTAAGCAAACTAATCAAGTGATAACAAAGGCAACTAAAAAAAAAGAACATAATTACGTTTGAATTTATAAAAAAATTTAAAATCATTTAAATTTAAAACTATTTGATTTAAATTGTTTTAAAGTGTTTAAAATAAAATCAAAAAAACACACATTAACACGGCTTGACACTGAATTCTGGCAAGTAAGTTTTCTGCTCGCCGAGCAGCATTTCTTATATTTCAACAACTTTTTTTTAATTTTATTTTAGGTGCTCCAAGAAGTCCTCAAGGTCTTATCACAGAGATAACCATGGATAAGCATTTAATAGGAACTTCACGCCTCCTTATTGATGTAAATAAATTTTTATTTTTATTTTTCGATAAAAGTTGTCTATCAAAAATGAAAATAAAAATTTATTTACATCAATAAATTGTAATTTAACAAAGAATCTAGACAACAATACATAATCTAAAAGTGTAAAAATTGAATCAATATCACTCAATAAATTTTACTCCAAAGTAATTAAAAAAAACCTATTAAACCTATTAAATCTAATGAAAATATTAAGTAAAAAAATATAGCAAACTTACTAAAATCAGTGCCAGTTCTACTGCCTTAAAAACTTTTATTATTAACCCTTCTAATAGTAATAAAAAAATAACAACAAAGTGATCTGAAGTTACTAAAAATCACTTCACCTATTTTTTTTGTTTTGGTTAATTGTCCAGGTAAAAGTCTATAACTATAATACTGAGATAATGTAACATGATTTCTAATCAATGTAGCACGTTCAGGGTTGTAAACTAATTGATTATGCTAAACAGCATCACCCCTTAGAAAAAATAGAGAACAAACCATAGGCTCTAATTTGGCAGACATACTTGATATATTTTAAGAGGATGACCTCTTGGGAAAATAACAACTTCACTGGAAGTAGGTGGAGCACTATCTTCACCAAAAAATAAAAATGCAACTTCATTACGTGAACGGAGATTATAGTGACATCTATCTTGCCCTTTTTTCTCCCTATTTCAGTTCAAAGTATTTGCTGCTTGCCAAGCAGGATATCTAGCATTTGGTTGATTATTATTTCATCCCGCCTCAGCCTATTTCTTACATTTCTGTGACGACTATTTTCAACTTGCCTAATCACACTGTCCTCATTTTGATTTAAATTATTCGTGGCTTGCCATGCAGCATATCTAGCATTTTGTTGATTATTAATTTCATCCCGCCTCAGCCTATTTCTTGCATTTCTGTGACGATTATTTTCAACTTGCTTATTAACATTTCCATTATTTTCTAAACTAATAGCCACTTCTAGCCTTATATCATCCATTTAAACTTCACTTTTAATTGATAGTAGTAACAAAAAATCTTGAAAGAATCTTGAAGATTGTGATTTTTTTTTTTTTACTTCTCTAAATTGCACACACACAAAGAATAATTTTTAAAACACTACATAGGAAATTTTTATTTAAAATAAACCAAATTATACAACAATATTGTAAGTTTTTTATAAAAAACATTTTTATAAATATATCCGTTAAAAGATGTTTAAACAAAAAATAAACTTATAAATATAATGTAAATAAAAAAATTAACCAATAGTAATAAAAAAATAATAATAATTAAAATTTTAATGATAAAGGGTACTGTTAATACAAAAAAAAGAAGACAAAAAATAAAAAGTAAAGTATTTGTAAACCCCTTTTAGTAAACTTTAATACTATTTCTATAAAAAAATTGTATAAAAAACATGCAAATAAATTAACCTTCACAAACAATGACTGTTCAAAAGTTGTAGTTTAATTCATTTTTCTAAATTCTAAAGAAAAGAAAACAATTTAACAGCATCACTGAAATGCCAATAATATAATAAGCAACATGACAAAATTTATCAAAGATTAATTATCTGCTTTTTTATTACTTAATCTTTTTTCCAATATTTTATATTATTTATTACACATTAAAATCAAAAGATTAAATTTATTAAAGCTTTACATAAATTAAAGGCAGCTATAAACACTAAATTATTAAATTCAAAACAATCAAAAGAAATAAAATCTGCTGGAAATCAACAAATTAGTTTAAAATTATAACTTTAAAATATTACAAATTTAAATGTGATTTTTGTTATAGTTAATAAATTGCTGCAGTACATTTTTTCAAAACTGATTAACTGATATATTCGAAGCAATATAGTAGCAATGTTATATTGTGAATCAAAAATTAAAGTAATAAAAACTATAAATAATAATCTAAACAAATACTAAAAAAATAAAAACAAACATAATTTAGAATATATATATATTTTTAATGAAAATAAAAACCAAGGAAAAAACAGCAACAAAAAAATTGTTAATATCTTCACTGATTGAATATATTAAAAAAATTTTTGTTGCTATTTTTTACTTGGTGCCTCCCAGCACCCCTGTATGGATGAGCCCTCCGTTTGAAAGAAGGCTTATCCATACCATTATTACTGCATCATTTGTTAAAGGACCTCTCAGAGAGTGGTCCTGGGTGCTGGGAGCAATATAGTCTGTAGCTGCTCCAATTTAGATCTAAAGAAAGAATAATAATATAATAAAAAATAGATATTTGCATTAAAAATAATAAATTAAAACTCCTAATATAGAAAAATTAAAAAAAAAAATGTAGTAAAACCCTTTTAAGCAAACTTCAATATTATTTATTTGAAAAAAATATTAGTAAAAATTTTTAAAAAATTCACAAAACTTAACAATATTTTGTTCTTCTATACCACATAAATATATCATTTGATAAATAAAAAATGTAACAAATAAGTAAATAAGAAAAAAATTACATATAAAAAAAAAAAAGAAATCATTGTACCTGATAAAGCTGATGTGATTTACCAGAGTAGTAGTAGTAGGCTTTTAGTGAATCTAAATATTAATTTTAGTGAATGATTAAATGCAGTGAGGTCTAATAATGAAATTAACTATGTATCATTTTTAACAGTAGACAACAACTTGAAGGTAAACCAAATGTATATCAACTCAAAAGATTACAAAAAACATCACAACAACAATAGCATTCACCATAAGTTCATATAATATGCATATAACATAACTTAAGAAACATAAAATTCATATATAACAGAACATCAGTAACAACATAACGCAAAATGTTATTAAAATACATGTATTTTCAGAGTAATTATTAATAAAGGCTTGAAAACACCTAGACCTAAAGCAGTAACAGTTTGACGCGAAACACTGCTTTGTAACCCTTTGCAGTAAGTGACTTGGCTGGCAAGGTTGACAAATCTTGCTTTACATGTTTACCAATTCACAGCATTTTGAAAATATATATAAACATATTTAAACACATTTATAAAACAATTTTATATCTTATATTAACACATACACAAACAATAAAAAAACATGTTACATTATTATAAAAACACATTGATAAAAAAGCTATAAAGCACATTTCACAATATACACATAATTATCAAAAAAGCAATGCAAACAATGAACATATAACTTGAATTGTGCAAACAAAAATTTTAAAAATGGCATGAGAAAATTTTTAAAGATTCAAAGTAAACAAAATATAAATATTTATATACAAACAATACTCTTTACCTTTTTTTTCATAAGAACTGTAATTCTCATAACAAAAATTTAATCTTTACATACAATAACATGTGACATGTCAGTAGTGGCACGAAATTTTAATTTATTTTTCTAAATTTTCTAAAAAAGAGCAAAAACAGTTAATAGCATCACAGAAATTTCATGGTAGTAATAACCAATTTTATTGAATTAGCATTAGTATAACTTTTTTGTTGCATAAAAAGTAATTAGACCTCATCCTTACCTCTATCTTCCTTCTAAAAAATATAAAAGATATGCTCAATAAAAACTGCTAGAAAAAAATAAAGCCAAAAGAAAAACTAAAACAAAAAAAATGTAAACGATTTAAAAAATTAAAAGGAGTGATCCTTTTTACTTTATTTTTAATAAAAAGTATTATACATAAATTGCGAAACTATTTTCAATGCTTATGTGATCTTAACGATGATTATTACAATATGATCTTAACGATGATTATTTATCTTAGTATGATTCTTTATGTAATATTTCTAAACTATCTCAATTCAAAAGATCTTCCTCTAATAACCGCGTGCATTTTGAGAACGCGCTGTTTCAAGTTCAGAAAAGCCTAGTAACTAATTAAAACTGCTTTAAAAACAAAAGCGAAACGACATTAAACATTGAACATTGAATTTTTACAGTATTAATATTTAGAGATTCTTTCTTCAAATAACATAAGTGATTCCAAGTTTTAATTGAAGTATAAAAGCATTTAGAAAAAGTAAAGTGGATATTTAGATATTATTAAAAACTTCAGGAACTTATACAATTACGTACTTTATAAGAAATAGTTAGAATTTCTAAAACGTTACTAATAGTTTGTAAAAACACACTATAATTTCAAAATTAACCAATAATAAATATGGGTTGATTTTAAAGTTAATGTGCATTTTTACAGGCAGTTTTTCAAAATTCGAAACTTTTTATAAAAATATTAACAATATTTTTTTTTGAATATCTTCTCTATTTTTTCTAGGTGCTTTTCTATTTAAATTAAAATTTGGGATTACTTATGTTGTTTGAACCAATAATAAATTATAAAAGTTATAAAAGTATTTGTAAAAGTAATAACATTTCCAGATCGCATAATAACATTTCCAGATTGCATAAACACATTTCATGATTGCTTATTCAAGCTTTGAAAATATCAAATAAATTAATAAAAATTTAATATATTATCAGCTATATTAAAAAACTATTTTTAAACAATTTTCTTGTTCTCAATAAAAAAATATTAGTTAAATGTAAAAATTTAATATATGATTTTAAGTTTTTTTTTTAATATGTAATAACATATTTTTTTTTAGAAATAGATTTTTTAGTTTTAATAATAATGTTTAAATTGTTTAAAACATTTATTTATTTTTTTATAATATATTACAACATATTTATATATTTATACTTTAATGTTTAGTTTCTTCTAAAAATAAAAAGCATTTAGGTTTTAGTCTTGCAAGGTTAAAATATTTGGTATTTACAATTTTGGATTTACAAATTGTTTTCTTTTTTTTTTAACGAATTGTTTAATGTCCTTAATTTCAGGATAAGCTTATTTTTCGTATTAGAACTGAATATTTTATTATGATTCTATTACTTAAAGGATTACAATCTGAGGGTTTAAAAAGTTATTTTTAGCCATAACCACTGCATCATAGCTACTATGTTTGTGTTTTATATGGTCACTGTTTAAACTTATATTTATTTTAATTTTAGAATGATATTCAAAATTTGTTTGGTGGTGCTGGTACTGTAAAAGAAGTAAAAATCTTACCATGTCAAGAAGGCAAAAATGTAACTCTTGGGTATATTATTTAAATCTTTCAAGCTCTAATTAGTTTTTTAAAGAAATATTTTGTTTCTCAAAAATATATATATATTTTTTGTTAAAGAATCTCTGCTATTTCTCAAATTAAATTTGTTGGCATAGGTTCAATCTAAAGGCAGAGTTCTTAACAAAATATAATTATATTTTAAAAAAGTTCTCAATGAAATTTAATAATACCATACATAATAAATAATCATGCTCTAATAAGTAGATTTATTTAGACATTAAGCTCAGAAAATATATTCCTTATACATATTTGTTTTTAGCTTGTTATAAATTTTTTAAAAATTCAATATTGCTTTACTTAATTCTTTTTTTTTTTTTTTTTTTTTTATTTATCCTGCAAACAAAGATGTAAATAAGATTGGTTGGGAATGAAATGCAATTACTTACTTTTCCTGACTACACATATAAAATTTTGTTGCAACAACTTGACCACACAGCATTTTAGTTATTTCAAGAATAATTCAAAAATGGGCAAAAAAATGCCTAATTTGACACACAAAAGGCTATTACAAAAAAAATTACTTAAAAAAAGAATTCTTAGCAAAAATAAACTTAAAAAATAAAACTCAACTAAATCATGAAAAGCTCATAAATTAAAACTGTATCAAAAAGTTCAACAAATAATGTTTATGTTTAGAATGAATAACTTTGATACTTCCATCTTTTGTGATGCTTTTATAAAATTAGGCGACAATTTTTATTTAAAGTAATAATTTACTTTTAATGATAATTTAGGGAAATAAATGTTATTCAACTTATTATATTGTATTATATACTTTATTTTATTTACGTTTATGTTTCATTTTAACAAGGTTCCTATAGCTAGTAAACTATAGTTAGTATATAATAAATAAAAAAGTCTATTTAATTTTAAAATAAACAAAAGAAAAAACCATTAATACACAGTTGCAATCAGGGTTGGCAAAAAAACCCACCTTAAAAAAACCCAAAAAAACCCAAAATATATTTGGGTTTTTTTAAAAATGACCTATTTTACAACTGATATCTCTGATTTTAACACTTATAAATGCTTTATTATCAGCAAGTGCAACCTTTATACTGTAATTACTCTTGTAAACACTGTATTTATATACATAATGATCTTTAGAATATACCCAAAATCGATCAATCTGTTTTTGTAGCAAGTTGGTTATTTATTATTTTTTTAAAACATTTAGCAAGTTATTATAAATGTTATTGAAATATGTATTAAAACATTAAATTAGTTAAATACTTATAAAGGAAATAAAAATCATTCTATTAACTAAATTTCAAGACATTACTAGTTATTTAGTATCTTTATTCTCCTCCCGAATGTCTATATTCCTTTATATTGGTATTTGATCTTTTATTTTTTAAAGCTTATGTTGTTAACTGCCAAAAAAAATTACTAAGCCACAAACAAAATACTATATATAAAAATTATTATACTTTATTTACAGTTTAGAAATGGAAAGTTGTCAGGCAAAAAAAAAAATGCTACAGTTTACTAGATTTGTCCTTAAGTGCATACAACTTTAAAACTTAAAAAAAAATTAAGTTATGTGCAAGCAAGCTTGCAACATGTTTGCTCATTCAATGAGAGAACATGTTGAAAACTTGTATGCATTTCACAAGGACAAGATTTGTTGGTAAAAATGACACTCGTGCTCATCTGTCTTTTGACAGGTTTTGAATATATTGCATCAGCTACAAGTTTACAACATGTACCACCAATAGGGGTGACTATGAACAGCGGGTTGAAAATTAACATCAGTATCAAGTTGCTAAAAGGTGAAGAAACACACACACAATAGAGCTATATAATGTGTTACTTTGATTCAGTTTGCAATTTGCATTGCAAAACTGAGCCGGTAAAACATCTTCAAGAAAAAAAAAAAAACTTGGTGGCGAAGACACTGTAATGGTTCTTAACAAATTTACTTTATATATATTTAGAAACAAAGTTTAGGCAAAAATCCATTTTTTGCCAGTCCAGTTGATCAGGCCGATAACTTTTCCAGGAAGCTGGACAGTATAATGTTCTGATAAAAAAAAAATGTAGTGATTAGGCTAGCAGTTTTCTTCTATGATACAAAAATGTTTAAAAAGTGTTCATAATCATCCTGATTGATAATAACTTATAAGGTTGCAACATCATGTTGCAAACTTGTTGATTACATGTTGTAAACTTGTGCAAAGTAGTTTTTGAAATAATATGTTGAACATGTTAGTAAAAAAAACTAGTTTGCAACATTTATATTGTCTTACCAACTTTGAATAACTCAATTGTCATGATTTTTACACTGATTTTTTTTTTAGTCAAAAATATTCTGAACATGCTTTTAATTTAGAGCAATTAATTAACATCATTTATAGTTGATGGAGTCCCTTTTTGCACTATAGGTAAAATGTGCTAGTAGACTAGTAGCAAAACATTTGGCTCACAGCCAGAAGGTTGGGGTTCAAATTACCTCTGCTGAAATTACTCAATCTATTTCCCCACACAGCGCCTTTTTTTAAAAATTTTAGTTGTTAATGTTGTTTGTTAGTAAAAATGGTAATGTTAAAGATTGAGACAAAATATTTTTAAAAAATGAGTTGCTCCCTTGACTGAAATGGTGATTGGAGCAATAGGGAGGTGAATTTATGAAATTAAAAAAAAAATTATTGTACTCATACAATTATAAAAATTTGGTATTTTGATCAATTTTTAAAAAAACCCAAAAAACCCATAAAACCCAAAAAAACCCATTTGGGTTGGGTTTTTTTTAAAAACTCTGGGTTTTTTCCAACCCTGGTTGCAATATTAAAATATATTGGATTGTACTTTTATTTTAGCAATGCCTATAAAATGTTTTATTTTGTTCAAAACCAAAGCAGTGTTAACACTGTAAAATTTGTATTAAAACTTGTAAAAAATATTTAAGTAGTCTTAAATTATAGCTTATATTGATATAGTTTTGTTATGTTTTTGTCCACTTATAAATCTGACGAACAGAAAGCTAAACACTCACTTTTTGCGCTTTTGGGCTAACAATCAGAGCCAGATGTAAGACCTAGAGAATGGATTTCAATTGATTGAATGTACACATTAGTGGCTGTAGGCCATCACTCTTAGCCAAAAGTGCTATGACCCCATAAGTGCACATCATTCTACCTGGTGTGGAGTGATGTGCTATGAAGTGATTTGCTATGAAGTGATTTTCAAGCCCGCGCGCGCTTAGTCAACAAGTGTTGATCTGACGTGCTTGTAGAGTTAGTGTCCGAATGAATGTGTGTGTTAGTGTCAGTGTAGTTATTTATGGTTAGGGATCATCCATAAATTACGCAACGTAAATTATTTAAATAAAGTTTTTTAGAGAGTAAGTTTTTTTTACGCGTTAATTTTCATTAAACTTAATGGGCTTTTTTAATTTTTTTTTTCATACATCCAGCTGGATCAGAAGAAGTTTGGGCTCACCAGCCACAAAGAATATATTTATAGTTGCATATGTGACACATTATAAAAAAGGGACCAACGCAGCCGTTCAGTTATGTAGACCTGGGAGGTGTGATAATAGAATCCTATGATGTCACTGGGTAAGAATCAAAAATGAATTTAAATACTATTTAGTAAGAGGAATAAAATTTCAAGACTCAGTAATAGGGAGAACCATAACTCATGCTCTAGTCATCCTAAGTAACTGATAAAATGGCATATAAGTTACCAGGACTATCAAAATCCGCTGGTACAGTTCATTATATAAACACTAGACAATAATAAATTGACAACTGATCAACATCTAAAGTTCATAGGTGAGGTAAAAAATGTTGGTGTCGTTATAATCAATTAGAATTAAGTAGTGAAGAAAAACATTCCTATTATACATTAAATAAGTTTTGTTTTGAACTTGATGTTTTAGTTATTATTTATAAAAGCAATGGTTTTAAAGCAGTTTGCGTTTTGTTGAAGCGTGTTAAAACTTGTTTGAATTAAAGAGTTCATTTGTTTAGCGTGTTGAAAACTTGTTTAATTAAAGAGTTCATTTGTTTAGCTTTCTATTGATATAAAGTTTGTTATGCTTTCAAAAAGATTTACTAATTGAATTTTAATTACTTTTTAATGTTATGTCATCCAAATTTTATCTAAAAATAGGTGCCAGGGGCTATTCTAGACTGTTTTCAACAGCTTTAACCATATTTAGGCTTTACATGTTTATATGTTTAGCAGTTAGTTATTAATCATCACTTACTAGAAATGTAAAAATTTATTTTTAGGTTTGTACATTTTGAAAGCGCTGAAGATGTTAGCAATGCAGTTTCTATGTTTAACAATATTGAGTTTAATGGCTCAAAACTACGTGTTTTAGATGCTGATAATAACTCCAGCTGCTCAACACCATTTTCAAATGGCTTTAAAAGGTACTTTTTACCTAATCACAAATAACTTTTTTTTTGCTGTTTTTAATGACTTTAAAAAATATTTTTATTGTTGAACTATGAAGTTTATCTTTTATAACCACTTAATTCTTCTTGATATACTTCTAATATGATACCATATTAGACTAAAGATTTCTTTTGTGTTTTTGATATTTTTTTACTTAATTAAAAATTCAAATAATAAAACATTGGTATAATGTTCTCAAAGACTTTTTATTCAGGGGGAAAGTTAGGTTTTGAATAAAAGAGAAGTAAACTCTAGGTAGGAGTAGGAGTTTAGCAAGGGTAAGATCTAGGTAGTGATAGAAATTAAGCAGGGGTAAGCTTTAGGTAGGTAAGGTGCAGGTAAAATAAATGCAATCGATGCAGCACTGATTCATTATATATTATCTAAAATTATTTTTATTATTTTTTTTTTTTTGTTGAATAAATAATTTTTCAAATTTTTTAATGTTTAACTAATTGTTTATTTTTAAGTGTTTTTTTTAACTTTATTAAATGTTATATCCAAGGATCAAATTAAGTGATTGAGAATTGCATTATTTTTTAATATTTCAGGTCCTCGAATTCTTAGTTTATTAAAAACTGTTAACACTGTTTTAATGAAATGGTGAATTTATCATATTGCAGAAAATTAACGTAAAAACAAAACAATAAATTTACTATGGTAAAAATAATGGCAGCCAAAACTTGCTTATTTTTAATTTTTTGTTTGTTTAAACACCAGGTAATTTAAGCCTTATAAATACAAAAAATGTTAAACAAAAAAAAAATTTCTAAAGGTCTAACAAATTTGCACGGTAATTTAAAAATTAACCAATAAAAAATTATACTAAAGCTATTTGCATTGTTTAAAACATTAAAATTGATTTTTGTTTAACTTTGAGGAATTGTTCAAAAATTTAAATGTTTAAAATTCGAATAATAATAATAATAAAAAAATAATAATAATAAAAAAGATAAATTTTAAAAGAAGTTATTAATAAAGATTAAAAATTTTTTTGTTTTGTTTTAAAATAACTACAAATAGTTATTATTATTATATAAATTATATATTATTATATAGATTATATAGTTATATATTATTATATAGATATTAATTTTTATGTTTCTAAACTTCTGTCTTTTATTTTGTATACATATCTGTGTTATATTTTTATATACATATAAATATACTTTTGTTATAATTATATCTGCATTAAAGGGATACGCGCACTTTATTGACAGTTATATTTTATATATGAGAAAATATTGAATAAGATTTAAATAAGACAAAAGTATTTTATTATTATTTAAAATATTTGATCACCACTAAATTAGAATTTATTTTCTAATCTAACTTGATTCTAAGCTAACTATGAGTATAAAAAAATGTGTATTATTCGGGGTTTTTTTTTTATTTATTTATTGAAAATATATTTGGTTGAGAAATAAATTATTTTTCCTTTAGTAACCAAAATGAATCACCCAGTAAACCAATGGGAAGAGGTGCACAACTTATTTCACAAATAAAATCTCAAAGAGCTCAAGCAAAGGTTTTTGGCATTCCAAGTGGAACCTCTGAGGTCAATATTTTTTTTTAACTATGTTTTATATATTTTTGATTTTAATATCTGTGACTTTTATGAAAAGATGCTGACTAAAAGAACTGGGAGTTTTTTTTTAAATTACCCTCATCTTTAGTCCTACCAATATCTTTAAAAATATGATTGTGTGAATATGATTTTGTAATTTTTTTTTTTTTTACATATAATAGGATGACATCATGGAGTATTTTTCATCAGCTGGATTAGTGAAGAATGTAAAGCTGTTGCCAATAAGAGAGGGTAAAGACACACATCTTTGGTATGTTAAATTTAGTTTTTATATACAAATATATATATATATATATATATATATATATATATATATATATATATATATATATATATATATATATATATATATATAATGTATATTTATTATATATACAAATATTTTAATTTTTTGTATCTGCCTATAGTATCATCGACATAGTCGTCATCGTCTTTTTTTAAATGTTTTTGCATATACATAAGTTTAATAATTCTCATAATGCTGTTTCCCAGATACACTCTTTATTTCCAATCTCTGTATAAGATTCTTTTTGTATTTATTTATTACCACATATCCAGCATATTTTCATATTTAATTTAGCTTTATTGAGTATGAGAGCAATAGTGAAGTTGAGCAAGCAGTGCAGACACTAAATGGAACAGAATTTAATGGTTCACAGCTTAAAGTAATGAATGGAGAAAATCAAATAAACACAGGTAATAATATGCAGAATGGAAAAGAGAGTTCATGGGGAAGTAAAGGCTCTGCACCAATTAATAGAATCCCAAAAGAAGACAGAGCATTCTCTGACCAATTTGGTAAGTTTTTATTTAAATAAAATAGTAATAACAAATTCAATAAAATAATCATGTGGTATTTTTTTTATCTCTGTGTTTTCTGTAAAAAGAAGCTGTCAAAAAATTGTTACTAATTCTTAACTCCCCAAGATCCAGAGAAAAAAATTCATGTATTCAATAAACTCCTAATATTGAACCTTCAAGCAATAAAGGAAACAATTTGTGGTCATTTGAGTTAGGGGTCTCCATAAAGTACGTACGCCAAAAATTTTGAAATCTGACCGTTTGAGACCCAAATGATACATTTTTTCGGGGGGCCTTTGACCCATTAGCCGCAGCACTGCTAAAACCTGTTTTTTGTCGATTAAAAAATAGATTGTTTAAAATACGCCTTATTCAGGGCCAGTATATAAGGCGTAGCATGTGTGCATAAGCGCCCACAGGATTTTTTGATATTCTAGATAAAACACTTTCACACATTTGGCATAGGTAATCACACATTTGGCATAGCTTGCACAAGCTCCAAACATAAATATGCCTGAGATGAGAGGCCTGGGAACAAAAAAGACCTAAAACGTTTTCCCCTTTAATGAAGTAAAATTTCAACTTTACTATCTAAATTTAAATTTATCGACAGATTTTAAATTTTGTTGAAAAATATTGTAAATTACAAAAGTTATGACCATACAAAATTTACACCCCTCCTTTTTTGTTGTTGTTGGGGGGGGGGGGAGGGCTTTTTTGCTTCCAGGCCTCCGCCTTCTTAATTTTTGCAAGATCTTCTCATTTGGCATAGGTATAAACATACTTAAGTTTAGAGTTTGCACAATATGTGAAAGTGTCCTATCTGCAACATTAAAAAATCCTGCGAGTCCCCATGCATGTATGTGCATTGAGGGAAACTATACCCTATACCAAACATCTTTTTATGTTGGCAAACTATGATCTTTAGTCAGAATTTTAGTTTTTCTATTGATTAGCTGGTTAATTGTGATAAATTAGATGTATGTACTTTTAAATTGAACCATCCCCCTATGAGCCTACTTTATCGACAACCCCTTATCAAATGATTTTTATGAGAAGTCGGGTTCAACAATGAAATTTGTATTAGAAATTTGAGTTATTGAGGGTTATGTTATTTAGAGTTTATTATATATGTAATAAACCCCATGACGAAATAGTATTTGACCAAAATAAAAATGAGTTATGAAAAATGAATGTGTTGAAAAAATGTTATAGGCAATCAAAAATGTTATAAGCAAACTAAATTTGGCAATATTCATCTACACTTTTACTTTTATTTTCAAATAATTGATGCTGTAGAGTAAAATGATTACCTCCAAGATTTACTAAAGCTCTCTTTAGTAAATCTTGGAGGTAAAAAAAAACAACAGTAAAATTCAATAAACATATTTTAAACTTAAATACCAAATTTTCAAGTTTTTTTTTTTTATGCATCTATTTGAATTTATTTTTATAATAAATATTTTTATTTATATTTAACTTTATTTTATTACATTTATAAGGTGAAATGGTAATTGGAGAATTTAAATCAGATGCATGCAGACGGTGTGGTGAAGTTGGTCATTATGCCAAGGAATGTCTTAATGCAGGTATTTTTTTGGATGTTAATTACAAAAAAAAAACTTCAATCAACAATTTGTTTACTATGTAACAATTTAATATTTTCCTGGTCTCGGCACTAAGTATGTTTTTTTTGGTTAGGTAAGAATGAAAATTTCACTTATTGTTTAAAATATTTTTTTAGTGGTCTAAACATTATATTTAAATATTTTTGCATTTTATAATGGATTAAAAGGAAATAAATCATTACTAGCATAAAAATTTTACATAAATTGTCTTTTTTTTTTTTTTTTTAGGTTGTTTTTATATTTTATACAATATAAATTATAACCAAATATCTTATTTTCCACTTTTTTATTATTTATTTGATTTATTCAAAGATATCAAACATTTATTTTTTTACAAGAATTTTACACCAATATTACCAAATAACCTGATTTTACTCATTTTAAAATTAATAAAAAACTGCTCTCATCATAGAAAAATTTGATTTTTTACTTTCTTAGTTAATTAGTACCATCTTTTGCAATTTTTTTTTAATACATTATATAAGTAACATATATAATATAATATTGTATAATAATGCATAAATATATAAAAAAATAACTAATAGTTCATAATAAATGATTATTTTGAATATTTAAAAAAATAGCAGGTCCAAATGGATCAGCTCAAGCTGTCACTTATATTCCACCACCACCACCAGAAACTGAAAATGAAATTTTTGAAATTGGTTCAAATCAAGGCATTAACTTTGAAAAATACAAACATATTCCCATTGAACTGAGCGGTACCAATCGCCCTAAACCTATACAAAGCTTTTCTGAAGCAAATTTGCATCCAGTGAGTTTTTTTTATTTAAGTTTATTAATGTTGATGTTAATATACTATTAGAAAATTTAACTTGCATAATATATTAATGCATAATAAATGAAAAAATTTTTTTACAAATATTTTTATATCACATACACACATCGGCCACATACAGAATTGAATAGTATTATTTCTTTTTAATAATATTGGACAATATAATAATTCAAATTAAAATAATAAGTAAAAAATCAAAATGTATAAATTTTAAATGTAGTTTAGAATTTTAATTAATTTTTAGTTTATGCAAAGCCATGTACTTTGTTTTCATGGAGTGAATTAATTTAAATTTATCAGCAAAAAAGTTATAAAAAAACCAAACAATAAACTTATACAAATAAAAAGTAATAACACTAAATGCATTTTAAAAGTATTAACACTGTAATAGTATTGTTACTTTTATAACGCACTTATAACATATATAGTTTATTGTTTGTTCAAAGAACATGTAATTGAGATATTATAAATAAAATAAAAATAATTCAAATAATAAATCCCAAGTTTTAATTGAGCTAGAAATGGATCTAGAAAAAATAGAATGGACATTTAAATAATATTAAACGGGTACTTTAGAAACAGTTTAGCATTTCTAAGCTTTTACTGTTGCTTTGAAATAATATAAAAGGAAAAAATATTGTTTTCATCTGTGATTTTAATCTGTAGTTTGAAAAACCTATCACAGGTCAGCAGGTAAAATCTTAAGCTCAAGCAGTCAACTCGGAACTTGTAGCCTGCAAGCATCTTCTTTTTCAAAGTATAGCCTGCGAGCATTATCTTTTTCACAGTGAATTTTTACAATGTTTCAAGGCAGCTTTAAAATAATAAAAGAGATAATTATGGTCAACTTAATGAGTATTGCGTACATTAAATAAATTACATTAACTAAGGATGTTTTTAAAAATTAAAGTTAAAAAATCACTAAAACTTAATAAAAGTTGAAATAAAAAACCTTATAAAACTAAAAGTTATTGTAATCATTATTTTTATTGTTATTTAAGTCGAAAAGAATATAAAGAGAAGAAAAAAATAGAACAAAAATGTTTAGAAACCAGTGCAATAGATAAACAGGTGAAATAAGTGACAAAAGAATCAAAATAACAATGCATGTTTTTAAAATATCAAATTATTAGTATATCAATTTTTATATAAACAAAAATTTTTTTTTTTTAAATTTTATATTTTAATCAAAAACTAAATACAAAATCTAATTTTTAAATATTCCTATTCACAAATAGTTAAAAATTAAACTAAATACAAACTCTAATCTTTTTTTGTTGTTGTTTTTGTTTTTTTGTGTATGTGTTTTTTTTTTTGTTTTTTTGTTTTTTTTTTTGTGGTGATCATAATTATTAAATAAATAGATGATAAAGTTTTATCATTTTAAAAAAACTGCAATTATAATGACTAAAAAATTTAGTCATTATTATTGTAGTTTTATTATCTATTCTAGACCGTTTTTGAAAGCGACAACCGTATATTTGGGCGCCTAAATTCAAAATCAATGACCTTTTTTTCTTCACATAATTGTTTTGTTTTTGTTTTTATGCAAAAAATGCCTGCATTTAGCAATATTTCCGCTAAATATTGACAGGAAAGGGGTACAGCGGCTCAAATTATTTTCCTAGAATAGTCCCTGATTCATAATTTCAAAACTTTTGAACTTTGACTAATAACTGTATTCTTGGCTAATAAATCTATTAATATTGTTATTTACCTAGTATTTGTTATAAATTATATTTAATTATAATATAAGCATATGCTATTCACACAATGTAAACAAAAAGTTTACATTGTGTTAATAGTTCATGTATTATACATATTATAGTATTTATAAAACTTTTATTCTGTGATAAAATATCAGACTTATAATTATCTGATAATCTTCTTGAAAAAAATTCAAAATTTACTCATTTAATTTATTTCATTTTAGGTCTGTCTGAAAAACCTTGATCTAGCTAAATACAAAGAACCAACTCCTATTCAGAAATATGCTATACCTGCTATTCTTGCAAAAAGAGATGTAATGGCATGTGCCCAAACTGGATCAGGAAAAACCGTAAGTGATTTTTTATAACTGTTATATTTACGTGTGTGTGTGTGTGTGTGTGTATATATATATATATATATATATATATATATATATATATATATATATATATATATATATATATATATATATATATATATATATATATATATATATATATATGAGTTTATGCTTTTATTTAGGCTTCTTTTTTGTTGCCTATTATAACAAATCTTATGAATGAAGGTCTTGATAATATTGACAGTAATATTGATGGAGTTGCACTTCCATTAGCTGCAATTTTAGCTCCAACGCGTGAACTTGTAGTTCAATTGTTTACTGAAGCAAGAAAGTTTTCTTATAACAGTTCACTGAAGCCTGTTGTTTTATATGGTGGGGTGGCTGTTGCTCATCAAGCTGATCGCTTACGAATGGGTTGTCATCTTCTTGTTGCAACACCTGGTCGACTTGAAGATTTTATAAAAAGAGGAAAGGTAACAATTACTGTTTGTTGCAGTAAACTTGATGTTTACAGTTTCTTCATAATTTAGTCCTTTGCATAACACAATACAATATTCATAATACTTTTTTTTTTTTTTATTTGCTTTTTTGAAATAAAAATTTACAACAATTTCATTATGCCGACAGTCTAATATACTTCCTGATATTGATATTACCTTTATGAGTTTATTAGAAAATAATTAAGAAAAAAAAGAACAAATAAATTTTTGTTGTTTATGTCCTTAATATTTTTTCAATAACATAATTTAATTTTTTTTTTTTTTTTTGCATCATAATTATTATTATTTACTATAAAATAATACTTGAGTACTTTTAAAAACGTTTAATCAACCTTCAAATCAACATCAAAAAGAATAATAAAGTAATCAAAGGGTTTTAGCTGTATTTTTTTCTTAAATATTACATACTGCCTGCCTAATTCCAATCCATATTTTGAATAGCTAACTTAAATGATCGCTAACTTTACGTTTCTTAATTTGCTATCATTTATTAAGTGTTGATATCATTCAAAAAAACTCATATATAGACCTTTGGTGTATCAACTAATAGTTTGGGTTTAAGCAAGCAGTATCTACATGAGAAACATAAGGCATCAGTCAAAACAAAGATTATTAATTATAATTATTATATTAGGTGAATTTTCAAAATCTGAAATACCTGATCCTTGATGAAGCAGACAAGTAGGAATTTTTTTTTTTTTAAATAAGTTTTACAAGTTTTATTTTTAATTTTTTTTACATGATCTTATAACTACTAATAATAAGTTTTTAAAAACGTTTTATTAGGATGATTGATATGGGTTTTGGGCCACAAATTGAACATATTATTGAATTCTCTGGAATGCCTCCAAAAGGAATCCGCAATACACTTATGTTCAGTGCAACTTTTCCGGATCAAATTCAGCATCTTGCTGCCCAATTTTTGAATGATTATTTATTTTTAACTGTCGGGCGTGTTGGTGGAACATGCACAGATGTTACTCAATCAGTAATTCAAGTTTCTGGAACAAAAAAAAGAGAAACATTGGAGAATCTTTTGCAAACTTCAGGTATTTAAATTTCTTAAAACTAGTTAACTAATTAAATTTGGTTTAGATATAATTGTTTTTATTATTTTGATTGATTCTTGCACTTCTGTCTAAGGGTTAAAATCATAGATCAGTTAAAAATAAGAAAAAAATTGTATGTGAGATAAAAGAGATGCTTAACAATAAAAGAAAAAAAAAAGATATTGGAAATGATTTCTTAATCTTTTCATTTCACTCACATTTCCATATTATATTGACAATTATGTTTTGTAAGATTTTCATTTTCAATAAGCCACATTTTTTAACCAAAAAAATTTTTTTTTATGGTTTTATTAGTAAAATATTGATTTTTTATTTTTTATTAATTTATAAATGTCATTATTTATGTTTAAATTTTTGAAAATATTTCTCTACTCAGGAAGCGATCGAACACTTGTGTTTGTAGAGAAGAAAAGGGATGCAGACTTTTTAGCAAACTTTCTTTCACAAAAGAACTTCCCAGCCACTAGTTTAAATGCGTATGCTCAAAATTAACTTTTTTTGACTTTTTAAAATTTGTTATAATATATTGTTATATTTGTTTGTTATATTATATAAACAAATATAAATTGTATTGTTATTAAATATTTTAGAGATCGTACACAAGAAGAGCGTGAATCTGCTCTCAAAGATTTCAGAAATGGAATTGCACCGATTCTTGTGGCTACTGCTGTAGCAGCAAGAGGTTGTTTTTTTTTTCTGTGTGTTATTTGTTTTTTAAGTACTTCAATAACATGAAACTAATTCATTCACTAATTGTGTAAACTCAAAAAAAAACAGAAAAGTGCTACTAAATGTTACTCTTTTACCTGCTTTTTTAATTCTTTAAATCTTTCTTGGCAAGGTTATTTCACAGACTAAGACTATTTAAACCTTGGGGAGGTAAATAATATAAAAAATATATATTATTTTGATATGTAAAGAATAATTTTTATAATTTATTTTTATAAATTTAAAAATCTAATAGTTTTTAAATTAAATATATATTTAATATTATATTTAAGCAAAGATAGCATTTTATGAAGGACCGTGTTATTGAAAATATAATATTCACATTTGACAAGTGCTAAGCCACAAGTAATATACCGAATCAACTAGGTTTTTTAAGTCTTAAATAAGTTTTAAATTATAGAAATAAGTTTGAAAATTAATGATTTCATTTTCTCAAAATCATTAGTTTTGGTTATTTTAAAACCATCAATGTCATCACCTGAACTTTCTAAAACTTTCGGAAACATGAACCTTTACATAAATGGTTGGTGCATGTAGAGTTAAATTTAATGCATTATATTTTCTGGGGTGTAAGGGAACTTTTTACCTTTTATTAAAGAAGACCATTAGTTTCTAAGCGTCACGTCGCATTTAAACCTGCTAAGTCTTTAATGGTCACCAAGATTCTTACATTGACATTTACAGCTTACATTTGGTATAAATAGACTGCTGTTTTGCTTTAAAATACTTTACTATTTACTATTATACTTTTCTATAAAACGTATTAAAGTTTTTTTTAGAGACTTTAAATAGCAATTTGCAGTCTAATCGACTGAGATATTTTGGCAAAATATTATATTTAAAAAAAGCTTATACTTTTTTTCTCAAATATTTTCACTATCAACGAAATTAATAAACAAAGATTTTAATATACTCCTATTAAGGTTTGGATATTAACGATGTGAAACATGTTATCAATTATGATTTGCCGAAAGACGCCAACGAATATGTTCATAGAATTGGGCGAACCGGTCGAATTGGAAATAAAGGAAAAGCAACATCTTTTTTTGATCTTGATCGAGACGGAAGTTTAGCACGAAGCCTTGTCAAACTATTATCAGATGTAAGTCAAAAAATAATATACTTTAGTGTTGAAATTGTTGATTTGATAATTTAAAATGATATTTTATGTTTTATGATAGGCCGAGCAAGATGTACCCGATTGGCTGGAAAATTGTGCATTAGGTGCGGTTGGAACTGGGTATGGACCTGATAACAGCCAATTTCGTGATCAACGCATAAAAACTGGGCAAAACGGAAATTCAAATAAAAGTATTCATATATAAATATTTTTGCTCTTTCTAATCTGTATATGTTGTTTTTTTCTATCATCAGTATTTGTATTGTTATTGTTTTTCTGAGTCCTATATACTGCATTGTTAACCAAGTCGACCATTTTGCTTTCTTTTATCGCTAGTATGATTTATGTATTATTATTATGATTGAAGTATCTAAACGCTATCAATCTAATGATTATAAATATTAACTTTATAGAATTTCCAAATGCAACTGCTGCAACTAAACCCACTTCTGTGTTAAATGACGATGAAGAGGAGTGGTAACTTTAAAAAATTATAACGACGAAGAAGTAGATATCATATATATTACTTGAACCTTTAAGATCTTAACAAAACTTTCTGAGCTTCACATTTTGTAAAAGTTTCCCTAAATTGAAAGACTTTGTTTTGAAAATGAGGGATTGTCATATAGTTGTGGAGTTCGTTTAAACGACGTCAAAAAGCGACATTATTTTTTAACTCCTTTATATATTTGTATATACAAAAGATCAGTACTATGTTTAGATTTGAATATAATACCGTTTTTTTCTTCCAGTTTATAAAAAAGTGTAAATAAGGTTTTCTTATATTATGAGGGTTGTACGAAAAATTGTGTTTATATTTGTGGGCATATTTTTGTACACATTTTATACTAAAAGTTTGTTTAATTTTATTGTGTTTAGTTTATTGCCAGTTGAGTAGCGAGAGTTACTTAGCGCACGGGGCCGAAAATACAGTTTGCGACCATTTTTCTTTTTTTTAATATAGCGCACTGTTTCAGGTATTTGTATATATATAACTATACAAGTTAAAATTACAAAATAGATTTCTTTTTTACTGGTTAGATTTAACTAATATTGTTTCATTGTTTATTTAATTGTGGTTATAGATTTTATATCATTATTCAGGATCGATTTCCGATAGCAGCAGTGGTAGCGCACTTGCCTCAGAAACGTAAGATCCGTGGTTCAATCCCCACCTCTGGGCAAGTTATGCGACATCGGTTGGGAAGGAGGCGTGAACTTCCTATTAATTGCCCTTCCGCGGTGCTCTTAATCAACTTAAAAAAAAAAGGTTCCACTGACTCTGACGGAAGCATGTTTTTGTGAAGTTTAAACATAATAAATTTTGATTAATATTTAATTCGTATACATTTAAAGCATTAATTTCTTTTTATAAAGGTTTGGCGTATGCATATCTGTTTGTATTAAAAATTAACCGAGTCGCTTGTTTTTGTTTGTTATAATTTTTTTAATGAAGACGACTGATTACTTGCCCACGCAAGTATTCAGTACATATTCCAGTAACTAATATAGCTATGGATAAATTAAAACTTTTTATGTTCCATATTCAAAAGGTGCCTCGTTTTGAACATGACCTCCAAAGTTAAAGAGATTTTATTTTCCATTAATTTAATATAATTTTTCCAATTTAAATGTTTGTCAAATAATGTCTAAAAATTTCATTGAATGGACTTTTTTTATTTTAGTATTGTTTATAAATAAATCTGAAAGTGTAAGGGGCGAGGATTTAGAGAGTTTAGTGAACAAAACATATTTTGTTTTTAAAGTTTATTAGCTTTAAACCAGTCGTTGAGACTTACTAGTTCAGTCTTAACAGTATAAAAATAAACTTTAAATTATTATTAGAAATTTTTATTTATCTTAGTATTGTTTATAAATAAATCTAAAAGATTAATCTTTTTTATTTTAGTATTGTTTACAAATAAATCTTTCAGATTTATTTATAAACAATACTAAAATAAAAAAAACTTTTCTAATAATAATTTAAAGTTCAAATTTAAAATGGCTTTAGTCTTATCTTCTGAATTGTAAACAAAGTGTAACATTGTTTACAATTCAGAAGATAAGACTAAAGCCATTTCAAATTCGAATTCAAAATTCCATAGTTTTGCAATTTATAGAGAAGGGTTTTATGACCGACAGTGTCGAATGTCTTCGATAGATTTGCAAAAACTCCTAGATGTTGTTGTCATCAAGTCCTTTTAAAATACTGTTAGTCAAATTAACTATTGCATGCTTAGTGCAATGGTATTTTCTAAATCCACATTGTTTATGATATAAAATTTTTTTTTTTTAGGTAATTGTATATTCTATTGGACATTACACGCTCAAAAAGCTTTGAAAAACAGAAAAGTATTGAGATAGGCCTGTAGTTTTTTACGATTGATTCGTCGCAAATTTTTTGATTATTTCTTTTGACTTATCAAATTTGATAAAAAGAACTACATACTGGACAATAAAATCAGTATTTGTATTAGTAAACTGCTGATTATATACGTCATAACGGTACATGCTATTTCGCTTAATAAATCTCTATTAATTATCATTGAGGGTTGTTTTAAAATTTCTCAAGTTTGGTTGCTTTAAATTTCTCATAATTACATGTTGTTGGATGAATAAATGAGGAAGTACAAGTCAAAGTAAGTTACGACGTCTTAATTGATCTTAGAAACATGCAATCCGCGCATTGCATGTTTCTGATGGAGATAAAGCCGTGTTATATTTTTCAAACAGTTTTTTCAACATCAAACCCTTGTTTAAAGATATGAGTGTTTTAAACATTTCTAAGCTTAACATTTATAATAGCTTTTATTTTACGTTTTGTTGTATGAATAACCCACTATTAAATATTTTTAAAGATATATGTATACCCTTAAAGCAAAGAGCAAATATAAATGGCGAAATAGTTATTTCAACGAATCCTTTTGTCGAACAAAGTTCAATCAATTTTGTATAACTAATAGAACACCTTATCTTTGGAGAAGCCCAATTTAAGCCAAATTTTGATTTTTAAATCTATTTCCTAGTTTTTTAAAATAAATCAAAGAGCATCATTTTTTCAATGAATAATATATTAAAATATTTTTGAGGAATAGTTTTTAATCATTTTTTATTCATAGTTTTTAATCATATTTTAATTTTAGTTAGTTGTTTTGATTTAAACTACTTGTATTATATTTTTTTATATTTTTTAGATTTTTTTATATGGTTCTTGCGACAAGATCGTCATGATCTTTTTTCAAATTCCAAGTTTATTTTACACGATATGACCCCAATGTAAACTGAAAGATAAAAAAAAAAAAAGTAAAAAAAATAATAATAAATGAGAATATGTTACCTTTTTAATAGGGTTGTACCGGATTTAATTTTTTCAAATCCGGCCGGAGCCGGATTTGCCGGATTTCTACTGACAGATCCGGCCGGAATCGGAGCCGGAGCCGGATTTCAAAACAAAACTACAGGAGTCAAAATCCTGTACATCCCTAATTGGTTTTGAGCATAGTCAACTATGTGGACTATTCAGAATACCAAGTGACTGCTGTTTTCTGTTAAACTTCATTGTTGTTATTTAAAACGTTTTATAGCAATTTCTATATATAAACTAATAGAAATTCTAAAGAAATTCTATAGGCCATATGTTTTAAAAGTTTATAGTAATTCTATTGAACTTTTTTTCCGGGATTTTGTCACTCCGCCACTGTAGTGGATCATTGTGTTTATTTATTTCTGGTTCTTTCGGATATTTCCTTAGCTGAGTTTCAATGCCTTTTAGTAATTGTTGTTTATGTGCCCTGCCACCAGCGGATGTAGGCTGAATAATTTTATCAATAAATTGCCAGAGTAATGATGATGATGATGTAAAAAAATTATTAAGCCCGGCTTATTTTGGTGGATTTTTTTCAGTTTTGTTAATCTTCTGTTCAGCATGCTCAGATTGACTTCAATCTTGTTTTTTCAGCTGTCAGTGTTGCCTGTAATGAGGAGAATTTAGTTTTAAATTGTGAGTCAACCAGCCTCGTCAGTATATAAAGAGGTTTCTCTTTTCAATGCTTTTAAAACGCTCATCCAATCACTTGATTAGGGTTGACATCATAGTCTTTATACCTGCATCATTCTAGAATATCGTGTGTCTTCCCTTCAGAATTTTTTGTTGCGTTGTTGTTTTAAATTAGACTTAGCTTATTAAATTATAAAGAAATATAAATACAAATACCAAAACAAATATGAGGTTCATAAAATATAGAATTACAAAAAAAATTGATTTTTATAAATAAAATATTAGGTATACATGTAAACACGGGCAAAAAAAATGTAATAAATATTTGACAAAATTCAACTCGGCTAAAATTATGCCGGATTTGCTAAATTTTTGCCGGAGCCGGATTTGGGCCGGATTTGTAAAAATGGCCGGATTTCGGCCGGAGCCGGAGCCGGAGCCGAAATCCGGTACAGCCCTACTTTTTAATGACGTCTTTGAGCACCAAGAAAACTATTTGATTTTTTTTTATAGAAATCTTTACATATAAGTAATAGATTTTGCTGTTGTATTTAATTAAACTAATTATAAATATATATTCTTTAGATTTTGTTAAATTGCATAATAATTATAATTTCTCAATTTTTTAATTGGCGCGAAACATAAAATAAAAATGTTTGTGGCGAAAAATCCCACACCGTAAATTCCTTTTTTTTTTTAATCTAAAAATCACGATTGCTTTTTTTATTTTTGTTATTACGTATATTTGCTATTCATATAATAAGAAAATATAATTACAAAGAAACGTTTACATGAAAAAAGTGGATTTATAAAAAACAGGCAATAGCTAACATAAGTCACCACAATCTTTTTATAAAGTCCCTATGGGCTTTTTTTGGCAGTTTATAAGTATTCCATTGGTTTATTCTTAAAGAATGTTCTTGCTCACATTATTCGTAATTTTATCATAATAGCTTTTTGGTAAAAAATTTCATTAGTTGCATGTCTTTCATTATTGGTTTTGCATATTTATATTTTTTATTCTTGTATATAAGTCTGCATGCATGTTTTTATCTCTATGAAAACATATATTTTTATCTTTATAAAATATATTTTTTAGAGAAAAGGTTGCTTGTCCACGTTTGAATAAGATTTTAAACAAATACGTTGCTTATGTGAAATGAAAACCATGGTTTAAAAGTATGTTTTTTTCTGATCGCTTTTTGGCATTTTTTCCTAACTATAAGTTCTTTCTTTGTCGGAATTCTTAAATTTTTAGTTTGATAAAAGTTGATAGAAATGTTGTATTTTGAAAACTATATTTAATAAATATGTATAAGAACAAATTAGATCTTTAATCTACAGTGAGTTAACACACTTTTTCAAAAGATTTAACTAAAATCAAGTTAGCACTGTTGAGGAAAATTGATCTAAAGATTCAAAAATGGTTCAAAAATGTCCGTGGATCACCAAAGGAATTAAAAAATCTTCCAAAAAAAAAAAAACTTTATATCAAATACTTAAAAAATAGAAATGAAGCAAACCTAAATGCTTATAAACAATATAAAAATTTGTTTGAAAAAATCAAAAAGATTTCAAAAAAGAATTATTACTCAAATAAAATAAAAAAACTCCAAAGGTGATATTAAAAAAACGCGGGACGTAATTAAAGAAATAATTGGGAACAAAAATTTGCAAACCAAATAGTTTACCTACTAAAGTTGTTGTAAATATTGAAGAGTATGTCAGTAGTGACGTAATCTCAGAAAGTTTAACAATTTTTTCGATAACATAGGCCCTAACCTGGCTACAAAAATTAATTGTCTAAACAACTCTAAATTAATTGTCTAAACAAATTAGCATTTAGCTAACTAAAAATTGAAGAACTTGAAG